TAAATAATGATAGCAATGGATTACAACCCTTTGAATAAAAAAGAAAACCATGAGTCTTTACAACATGAATGAGTAAATCCCAAGTGTGATGAGGAATAGGATAGCCACATAATTTCAAAGTTCCTCTCCACAAAAATACTTACTAATTACCAAAGAAGCCCTAACCGGTTTGGCTCAGTGGATATAGCGTCAGCCTGTGGACTGAAGGGTCCCAGGTTCGATTCCGGTCAAGGGCATGTACCTTGGTTGCGGGCACATCCCCAGTAGGGAGTGTGCAGGAAGCAGCTGATCGATGTTTCTCTCTCATCAATGTTTCTAACTCTCTATCCCTCCCCCTTCCTCTCTGTAAAAAAAAAATCAATAAAATATATTTAAAATTTAAAAAAAAAGAAGAGTCACTTCAGAGACAAAGCCTGGAAGATACTACCTTACACAGGTGATCAAAGTGAGTATCATCAATATTAGAAATTGTGCTCCCTGATGAATTGCAATAAAAAGGACATAGCATTGTTGATACTGGGGGAGGCTATGTGTGTGGGATGGGCCGTGGGTAACAAGGAGAAGGGATAGGAGTATTTGGGGAACAGCCTGTACTTTCTGCTCAATTTTGCTATGAACCTAAAACTGCTCTAAAAAATAAAGGTCATTAATCAAAAACAAAAACAGCACCACTTCTGTGATATTCCCACCAAAAGTGCATTACCTGAACCTAGTCATGAGGAAATATCAGGCACATTCTACAAAATAACTGCTCTGCAATTTTTAAGTGTCAAGGTCAAGAAAATCAAATACCACCGAACTATTCCAGAAAGGAGACTACAGAGACATGGCAACTAAATGCAACATGTGATTTGAAACTAGATCCTCTGTACATAAAGAACATTATTTGTACAACTAGGGAAACTTGAATAAGGTCCGAGAATTAGATGGTGGTAATGCATCAGTTAATCCCCTTGACTTTGATGGCTGTATTGTGATTATGTAGGATGCTGTCCTTGTTTGTAGGAAACAGTTTCAAAGGTGATGCAGCATTCAGCTAGCAACTCTCAAATGGTTCAGAGAAAAAAAGTGTTTTTTTGCACCTTTTTCTATAAACTTGAAATCATTTTTAAATTCTTTAAAATGCACCAAAAGTGTCTATCATGTTTTTAATTTCTAGAGCACTTTCTTTTTCTGATTCTTTTTATGATATCTTGATCTTATTTCATGGATATAATTTTTTCTCTTACCGCTCTGATATAATTACCTACAGTTTTGTTTTTGTTTTCAAACTTTCTTCTATTTCCAATATCATTTCCTTCAAGTTCCTCTTTTGTACTTTTGTGTTTTGGTCTGTCTTTCACATTGGAGGTGTTCCCCAAATGCCTATCTACTGAACAAATGAAGTACTAAAAGCCAATAGGAAAGTTCTGCATGTGTGGCTTCCCAACTAGAAGGCTTCCAATGAGTGGTGATTGGTTAAAAACACAACTATTTCACTGAAAGACCTCAAAATGTCAGTATACATAAGTTTTTTTCTCTGGACTCCAGAGAAGACTCATCATCTTCTGTCAGGGAGTGCAGAGCTGCAATACCAGAAAATCACCTTCTGAAAGATGAGGGAAAGGGTCTCACTTGTCTATATATAGGATTTCCTTTAATCCCCATTTTCACTATGGTGCCTCATCCCTGATATTGGCGAGCCTCTTTAGTTTCATTTTCCAAAGAACAACCTGTGGTCTCCTGAGGACTTGGGAGAGGGGCAGGCTTCTCACTACATAAACTGCGCCTCTCTAAAGATTTAAATCTATGTCAGGATTCTTTACCTGCCTTCTTATAAAAGTATCCATCTCCTTTTAAAAACAAGTCACTAAATATTATACATGCACATCTCAAAAAGGAATGTAATAACTTCATTTTCAGTAGTTTCTTCTGAAGATCTCATCTTTTGTCTTTGGGCTTGTAGACCCCTTTTGTTCTTTTTTATTCTGTTGACCAGAGTCCTTTTGAACAATCTCCTGAATCTGTCTTTTACAGCACTGATCTGACTGCCTCTCTGGCTCCTTCACTGGGACTTCCTCTTTATGCCATATACTAATTGCAATAAATGTGAACATACATGCATCAAACATTACTGAGCATCTACTAAATACCAGGCACTGTCCTAGTCATTAGGTTACAATGACAAATAAAACAATGTCCTTGGCCTAAAAGTGCCTCACGTTTCATAGAGGAGATGGATAAATAAATTTAAAACAAAAAAACACAAAACATTGTGGTATATACTAATTGACATATATGTACTGGTGCTATGGAGCCAAAGAAAAGGTGAATCCAACCTGGACTTAAGCAAGGGTGTATAATTTTGGGAAGGGTAGGCTTTAGTAATAAATACTAGTATAATAATTTATTATTGCTGATTATTTATTATTTCTTACTAGAGGCCTGGTGCACAAAAATTTGTGCACTAGGGGGGTCCCTCAGTCTGTCCTGTGCCCTCTCACAGTCTGGGACCCCTTGGGGGATTATCTACCTGCTGGCTTAGGCCCGCTCCCCAGGGGATCAGGCCTAAGCTGACAGTCAGACATCCCTCTGGCAGCCCGGGAGCCCTCAGGGGATGTCCACTTGCCAGCGGGGAGCAGGCCTAAGCTGCAGTCAGACATCCTTAGCGCTGCTGAGGAAGCAGGAGAGGCTCCCGCCACCACCACTGTGCTGGCAGCCATCAGCCTGGCTTGTGGCTGAGCAGAGCTCCCCCTGTGGGAACCACTGACCACCAGGGGGCGGCTCCTGCATTGAGCATCTGCTCCCTGGTGGTCATTGTGTGTCATAGTGACCAGTCATTCCCAATGGTTCTGCTGTTGGGGTCAAATTTGCATATTGACTATCTTTGCAGTGGATGAAAACTTCCTAAAGAAGTGGCACCTGAAGAATAAGATTTTGCCACATGAAAGCAGAGAAGAGTAGGGGACAAGAAATACCTTGCTAACTGCAGGCCCAGAAGTTTTGATGAGGAAGGCACTACTGCTAAATGTCTTTGCTCCACTCTCAACTGAGTAGAAAAGGAGCTCAGTCTCCTGTTAGACCCTGCCTCTATCCTCAAAGCTTACATGGAAAACCAGAAACTCAGCCAGAATATACGACACTCCATTAGTGAATGATGTAATCAGTTTCTGAAACCAATCTCATCTATATACCCTCTATCCACCACCACTTTTTACCCCTTAAATAATCAAACATGATTTCTAGTCAGGAAAAAGCCAATGATTCCTGCGCTAAAGAACTATTAAAATACTTCCAATTTTATTTTCTTTTACAAATAAGCGTAGATGTATTTAGTTATTATTGATTGGTTTTAGAGAGAGAGAAAGGGAAAGAGTGTAAGAGAGAAACATCAATTTGTGATTTGTTGTTCCACTTGTTTTTTGGTTTTTTTTCATCCTCACCCAAGGATATTTTTTTCCATTGATTTTTTTTTAGTGCGAGTGGAGGGGAGGGAAAAGGAGGGGATGGGGGTACGAGAGAGAAAGAAACATTGATGTGAAAGAGAGACATCAATCGGGAACCTCCCACTGGCATCCCTACCAGGGCCGGGCAATTAAGCCCACAACCAAGGTACATGTCCTTGACTTCAGTCATCGGGCTGACACTCTAACCACTGAGCAAAACAAGTCAGGGATGTTGTTCCTCTTTATTTATGCATTCATTGGATGATTCTTGTATGTGCCCTGACGGGGCTCGAACCCACAACCTTGGCATACTGGGATGACGGCTCTAACCAACTGAGCTACCCAGCCAAGGCACTACTTCCAATTTTCTTAAAAGTATTGCTCTTCATAAGTAGTTTAAAAACGCAAAAGAATGTAATTAAATCAGCCGGGGTCCAGCCCCAGCGGGTCCAGGGGTCCCAAAAGGTGTGGATGGAGTCAGCGAAGAAGGAATGACACGGAGACGGAGTTCAGTTGATCATCATAGCGAGGTTCTCTAGCCAGGTTCTAGCCAGGTTCTCCAGCCAGGTTCAGTCACTAGGTTCTAGTCAGGTTCTCTTGCCAGTTTCTGTAGTCAGGTTCAGTCCAGGATCTTTTGCCATGTTCTCTCGCTAGGTTCTGTCTCTAGGTTCTGAGGCCAGTTTCTGTCCAGGATCTTTTGCCATGTTCTCTCCAGCGAAGTTCTTCTGTCTCTAGAGAACGTTCTGTGTAGGTTCTGTGCCTAGGTTCCGTCTCTCTTGGTTCCGTATTCTAAGTTCTCTCTTCTAAGTTCTGGGCCTTGCTGTCTTGTTGCATCTGTATTTATACCAGTTGATTCAATCCTATCAATCTCTATTACAAAGGTTAGGGCATTTCTTATCTTCATTCCAGGGAGTAAAGATTATGTAGCTTAAGCACGATTGTTCGTAGTTAAAGTGATTAATTACCCACCTGGCACTTAGTTAAGAGGTTTTATTCCCTCCCTAACTTCAGGTGAAAATCCCTACCTGGGGAAACAACCTTCCTCAGAGAGGAGACCTTGGTTAAAACACATAGTGCCAAGAAGGTGAGCAAACATATTAAGAACAGTATGCCATATATGCCGGGTCCCTTGAAACAGCAAGGATGGACCGGCTCCCGGCATAAATCTATATTTCTGATTCCCTGCCCCAAAATTAGCTTTAATTGTTAAACTCTTGCATGATGAATAAGAAATGTAAATGGCACTAATTGGGTAGATTACTATTATTTGCTCTTAACAATATTGCTCAAATCCATGTTCTTCTTCATGGTGAAATTACCTTTGTACACTCAAGGTAGAAATTGACTCTAAAAGCACTGATAGAGAACTTAGCATTTTTGACATAATTCAACAGTAATTTAAAAATATCCTTTTGTTCTGAATTTAAGTCAAATATTTCTTAAAACTACACTGCTGATTTAACAAGAGGCAATGTTATTAATGAAGCAAGCAGCATATATACATAAGCATTATTTTCTATAGATCTAGTTGTTAAGTTCAAGCTCTAAGAGAAATATGAACATTGGTTTTCTTACCTTTTTCTCCTTACATGTGTGATAAGAAACAGACTTCCCTGTGCTTAATCATGATGCTTGCTGCATTGCCAGCCAGTCTTGCTGATTCAGTATGTTCTGTTTGATCCTAAAGAAAAAACACATTGCTCACTACATTTGCAAGAAAAGCTGTAATTTTCTTCATATAAACCTATCATAGCCAGACAAATAAAAGCTATGGGGCTTAAACAATAAATTACAAGTACATCTTCAGAGTCGAAGATGTGGCTGGCCAGCATGAAATGTAATGCAGCAGCAGACACATTTTATTGTCTAAAAAGGCCAATAGGTAAATATTACAATGAACAATTAAGACTTTTTGCACACTTCTTATTTTCAATATATAATACAGAGTGAAACATCAAGGCAGGCTCTTTCTACCCAATGCCTTTAATTATGTTAATTCATAATAATACCACTGATTTATGTTACAACTAGGGGCCCAGTGAACGAATTCATGCACCTTGAAAGGAACTGTGGGCCGCCAGGCTGTAGTGGGCACAGGGGCGGGTCTCCACCCATCCTCCACGCCCGGCCCTGTCCAGCCCCTCCCACCGTGGCCCCCAGTCCTCTATCTGCTAGCAGCCTCAGCTCCCACATGCTGACGGCACCGGCCTCGCTTGCACCCGCTGAAGGCGCAGGGTGATTGGGGCCGGCACCAGCAGTGGGTGGGATTGGGGCTGGTGCCATCAGCAGGTGTAAGCAGCAGCTGCTGCCCCGATCACCCCTCAAGAGCGGGGGGGAGGAGAAGCCCTGAGGGGCGATTGGGATCGGCAGCCACAGCTCGCACCCACTGACGGCGCCGAGCTATCGGGGCCAGCACCAGGTGCCGCCCGGCCAGCACTGGCAGCAGGTGCAAGCGCCAGGCAGGATCACGGCGCATTGGAGCAAAGAATTTTCAGTAACCACCAGAAGCTCGCCCTGATGACAGCAACTGGCGTCCCGCCTTGGTCTGGTGCCCCTGCTCACCTGCTCCACCATCCCACCACGGCCAACGCCCGCCATGTTTTGCCCATGGCCCCTGGTGGTCAGCGCAAATCATAGCAACTGGTTGTTTGGTTGTTCAGTTGTTCCAACATTGGTCTATTTGCACATTAACGTTTTATTATATAGGATAAGCTCTCCAAGAATCCAAAGCTAACAAACCTGCTGCTTCACAAAAAAGTCTTCTGTTAGTGTGATTTTTTTTTTCTACCTACAAAGAACTCTTAAAATGAGAGATTCAAAAGCTTCTTGCTAAGATTTTTATTGCCAAACAACTGTTTTCTTCCAAATGAAGTATCTTATGTTCCCAGTACTCTTCTGCTTAGTAGCAATGGATCTATTAATCCATTTTAATATATACTATCAGGTGTATGCAATAGCCAAAGTTGTCTCAAATATTATTTCCTTCTTCTCAATATATGACAAGATCCATGAAGTTATAGTAGTCCAAAAAATGCCTCTATAACTGCTCAGAGATAATTTGAGATTCTTTAAGAGCTTAATTTAGCCTTGAACAAGATTAGTAGTTGAAACTAATCGCAAACTAAAACTATCATATTATCAGCATAAAATATCTAACATATAGTCATAGAATTTTCAAAATAAGAAAATATACTAGAGATGATCTAATGGACATCATTTAATTTTAAAAATAAACTGAGTCACTAAAGGAAATTTGTTGATATTATTACAAACATGATTCCATTATCTGATGTGAAAATTATGTGCTTACTAAAAGATAAGAGAATAAGAAAAAGGCCTAAAATTCCAGAAACCAATAAAACAATATGGAACGAAAATCACTGGTAAAAGATTTTCCTATCTTGAGAACTTGAAAAAATATGTACAGGCTACATATTCTATATGAGAAGAGCTGCTGATACTAAAAAATAGACTTATATTTATCAAGAAGAACTAAATCATATCAGGTATGAAAGGGACAAAGTCAAAATGAGAATGAGGCAAAGTAAGGTCCTCCTCTCTAACACCTAGCTAACTGAAGCTTTTTTTAACAAAAAATATAATTCTATAGATTCAAAGTCAAATCTGGTATGTGTGTGAGACAAGTTCAATAATACCATGTAACTATCCCCAAGATCATAGGTTTTTCTTCTGGAATCATATCTCTTTGACCTTCTAGTCTCAGCTGGCAAAGCCTCAAGCCTGGTTAAGCCCAACTATCTACCTACTTCACACATTCCCCCAAACAGCTTAAATGTGGCTGAATTTTTTTTAAAAAATCACACAGATGGTGACTGGTCTCAACTTTACAATTATGATTTCACAGTACATCTTCCTTAGTCACTCTACTTTCAACCCTGTACCTGATCTCCACCTTCTGGTATGCCTAGAATGTCTATCTCCCCCACTGGACTGTGAGAGTTCACGGAGAACAAGGGCTATGTCTTCCTTCTCTGTAACCCACAGTGTACCAAATAGTGCTCAATAAATGCTTCATGAAGAAATAAATTGTATGAAGTTAATGAAGTCATATTTAAGTAATCAACTTCATGACAAAGATTTTTTCCTCCCTAAGAAATAAATATTTGTGAATGTGTGTCACAGGTGAGAGGGACAGCAAGAGTGAATAAAAAAAAATGGAGAAATTCTCTAGTGGGAGAGAAAAAAGTGATAAGCATCTAAACAGTTGCAAAATTTATCACAGGCCCTTTTACATAATAACTACTCTTCTAGATATTTATCTTTTTTTATTATTGTCTAAAATTTTACATATGTCTCCTTTTTCCCCAATTGACCCCCGCCCCCACCCCTCCGCCAGCCATTCCCACCCCGAGCAAGCCCCCACCGCTGGTGTCTGTGTCCATTGGTTATTCTAATATGCATGCATACAAGTCCTTTGGTTGCTCTCTAACCACACACACACACACACACACACACACACACACACACACACACACACACCATTTGTCTCTGGATCTCTTCTTGTTCATCAAATTATGTTGATAATTATATCCCACATATGAGTGAGATCATGTGATATTTATCTTTCTCCGACTGGCTTATTTCGCTTAGCATAAAGAGGTATTTGGAACAAAAAAGATATAGAATAAGTTACTGTTAGACTGATGTTTAAAATAGTAAAATATTGGGAAAAATCTAAACAGCAAATGAAAGGAGCAATTTACAAAATGGTACAAAAGGTAAGACTCCATATTTGGGGAGAAACTTAAAAGTTTTAAAAAATATACACCCAGCCCTGACCAGTTTTGCTCAGTGGATAGAGCATCGGCCTTCGGAGTAAAGGATCCCAGGCTCTATTCCAGTCAAGGGCATGCACCTTGGTTGCGAGCACATCCCCAGTAGGGGGTATGCAGGGGGCAGCTGATCAATGTTTCTCTTTCATCGATGTTTCTAACTCTCTATCCCTCTCCCTTCCTCTCTGTAAAAAAATCAATAAAATATATTAAAATACACACACACACAAACACACACACACACAAATATAATAGAGAATCTCTCAACAGGGTTTGGGTGATTTACATTATTTTCAAGCCTCTATAGACCTAATTTTTCTTAGGATAAATGTATGTTATTTGTTAATAAAAGGAAAGAGAATTGAAGGTTTGTGAATTTCAATTAATAAAAATCCAAACTACTTAAATTTTTACTTTCAAATATAAAAACTGAAAAAGAAAGAAAACAGAAAAAACAAGGATTTTTTAAAAATCCTCACTTAAGGATATTTTTTTAAATTGACTTTTAGAGAGAGGGGAAGAGGGAGAGAAAGAGAGAGAGAGAGAGAGAGAAACATCAATTGGTCACCTCCCATACACACTCTGACTGGGAATTGAACCTGCAGCTTAGGTATGTGTCCCGACCCAGAATGGAACCAGCCACGTTCGGTGAATGGAACAAGGCTCCAACCAGCTGAGCCACCAGGCCAGGGTGGAAAAACAAGGATTTTAAAAAATTATTTCCCTGGTATATGTAACAGAAGATTAAATTTTTAATTATAATGTGGGGAAAGAAAAAGAAAAAAGGAAAGGATTTAGAACCATAAAAGGGACAGGCAAAAATAGAGACCCACTGATGACAGCCTCTCCTCTATTGAGTGGGCTCAATAAAACAGCCCTCCGGCTTCTTACAGTTTAGGAAACATCTCATTATTCAAGCAAGAAGCTGGGATGAGGGAGGGGGTGTTACCTTCTTCTATAGTAGTTTATCAAAGTTTTCCTATAAATAATATACAGTACTCTACTAATAAGTAAAGAGTCTGGTAACTGAATTCTTTACCTTTTTCACCTCCATCTCATTAACTTTGCAGACCATTTTAGTACTCCTTACAGATTGGCACCCTAGGAACTCATTTAAGCTAGCCAGCTCCTTAATTCATCATTATCTATGCATCATTATCCATCTGGCTCACCAACCCAAAACCTTAAATGCCATTTTAGATACTACCTCTACTTCTCCCCACCTCTACATTTAAACTAACACATCTTGTCAATCTTACCTTTTTTTAAATCTCTCAAACTCATCCACTCTCTCCATTCCCACTGCCATATACTACACCACCACCATCTTTCTGTTGCCCAAATTCTTGCAAGAATCCTAACTAGTCTCCCTGTCCCGCACCCATTTTGTAGCCATCTAGCCTAGTCTCTACACAAATATAAAACACAAATCTGATTTATTTTGTACTTAACACCATTCAATAGTATCCTATTACCCTTAGAATAAAGTCCATACCTCTATATGGTTTCTGCTTACCTCTCTAGTATGATACCTCTCTATTCTCTAATTTTTGCTCTATGCATGGTAGACGTGATCAATTAAACTTTCAATTCTCAATCTTGCTCATCCCATTTCTCAAAACAGGCCTTCATACTGATATGGGCTACAATATGAATGAACTTTGAAAACATTACGCTAAGTGAAAGAAGCCAGTCACAAAAGACCACATAGTGTATGGTTCTATTTATATGAAGTGTTCACAAAAGGCAAATCCTTAAGAAATAGAAAGTAGATTCATTGTTGCCAGGGTTAGGGAACGAGGGGAGTGACTGCTAAATGGGTATGGATTTCTTTTGGGGTTAATGAGAATGTTCTAGAATTAGACAGCGGTGATGGTTACACAACTCT